TCCCTACATGAAAAATGCTGTAAAAGTGGCAGGTTAGTTACAGGATATACCTTTAATGGGTGAGATATGGTTATGTCTGTTTTCCAAGTTATGCTCTCAGTGTTACGTCTCCTGGAACATAATATATACTTATATTATGTTATGCATAATCATCAGAAAAACTTCACAGTCTGTACACATAGATATCTCCGAGTCTCTTTCTTCAGTCATTCTTCCCATTGATTTCAGGAAGGATTACTTGCATTAGCAGAGAATGCAGGACTGAGTGTTTGCAGTGGTTTTGAATAATGAATTTCTGTAGGATTCCAGAAATGACATTCAGTTCCTCAAACATTTTCTGCAAGGCAAGCAGCATACTTTGAAGTCTGCGCTAGGAGAAAAAGAAACAAAACCAAAATGTGAATCTCCTAAAGTACTATCCTCCTTTCGTGGAATGGTTCAGTGGCTTAATGAGGTTAATTTGTATTAGGTTGTGGGAAATCCTTTATCTACTGTATAGAGGCTTTCATTTCACATGAATGTGACAGATACTGTACTTACTGCACTGGAACTTAATTATTTGATAGCATAAGGAGCTGAAATCCCTACATTTCCTCTCAAAGAATATTCATTGCATACTCCAGATGGTAAATAGGAACTAGAGGACGGGTGGCCTAGATTTTCAGTGTTTGAAATATCTTTGTATACTTTTCTAGGTTGTTTTGGTTTTATACCTGGAAAATTTCAAGGCAGCTTTATTAAAGATTCCCCAAATACTCTCAATAGTATGTGATTATTTTTTGATCTCTCCCATTTTTCACAAATATTTTCACCATTTGAAATGCTGTTCTGTATTGTACATGAATGTGACCGTTTCGTTTAATTACACTCTTTTTCCATAAAAGTCTTAAAATGCTTGATTTTCTCTCCCTAATTACTACAAAACAAGTCTTTCAAAAGTTTTGTTTCAGTATGAACATTTCCCTCACAGAATTTTAAAACGGCTCTTTTAAGTGGCTTCCATTTCAGACATCTATTGGTGCACATTGTACTTTCTTTCTCTTAGGCATATTACGGCATTTCTGTAGACCTGGTAGAGCTGTGTAGAGCTATTTAATAAGAGAACAAGAAAAAAAAAAGAATCAGGATCAGTGATACACATTAGAATACAAATAAGGACTGAAAACTAATATAGTGAAAAATTAAGTGGGATGAAGTTCACATCTTACCACTAAATTTACTTTCTTTTGTAGATTCAGTGTCTGTTTTTTTAATGTACCTTTCATGAAATACAAATTAGTGAATTTGTGTTAGCATGTGTGGGTATAAGATGTGTAATTTCCTATCAAAAATTAATGTGAACTTACAAAAGCAGCATGTGTTTGTTCTACTATATGTTATACATTCAAAATATGCCCTAGAAATTATTTTTACCATATTCAAAAATAAAAAAAAACTTATAACCATTTTATTGAGAAAAATGAAGGTATTTATTTAAATTGTTTTATTGGCATATATATCAGTGAAATTGTTTGGAAAATAATTAAAAGTAATTTTTATGGCAGAGTGTGCTAATAGCTGTAAAAATATTTGCTTATCATCAAAGGTATCAAAATATTGGAGATTGCAAAGTTCACACAGATAGTACAAATTGCTTTCCTTTATTGAAGGCATTAACATTAAAAAAGAATTTTTATGTAGAAAAGATTTTTTTCTCTTAATTTTCTGATTTATATGTAACATTTTGTTGTATCACAATATGATGGATCACGGGTTAATTGTTCACATTGTGTTATATCATTTCAGCTGTAGTACAGAATGATGTGATAGAGTATAATCTAACCTGACATAGTATGATGCAGTGAGTGACAACAAAGATCACAGGCTGTTCAGTGGACTTTGTTCTACTGAAAAATGTATAATTGCCTGCATGAAATGTTTAGTAGTTTATGTTTTGTTGATGAAGATTCAGAGCCTAATTGCTGCCTGTGGCTTTTGCCTCTAGGCACATTCTTGGGGTCCATAGCCCACATCAAGTTTGTTTTCCTTCCTCGGGCCTTTTGGGAGCTGACACTGTGCAATAACAACTGGGTGAAGCCAGAGATCAATGCTGGGGTCCTGAAAGCCTGTTAGTAGGGCCTTCTCCTTGTGGAAGCTCTTGTTTATTGTTTGCTGTTAGGGGTATAAGAGGTAGCTGAAGCATTCAGTACCTAAGTTTTGCATAAAGCATACAAAAAGTGAAACAGCAGCAGAAATAGAGGACTTAGGGATACTGTTACAACACATACTGCTTTGCATAATGAGTATTCCTCCTTGTACAAGGTTGTAGGTCAATACCAGCTAAAAGTTCAGATTTCTTTCTGTCTTCCTTCTGATGGAAATGAACTATCCCCAGAAATACCTGGTGTTGTATTAGTAACCACTGAAAGTTCAGTTAAAATGACTTTTTCTGAACTTCAGATTTTTTTGTAACTGGCT